AGGACCCACCTGTCTGTTGTGGAGCTGCCGATCCACATAGATCTGCCCCTCCGTGATGAAGCCGGTGAGGTCGGGGATGGGATGGGTGATGTCTGCAGGGGACAGGAGGGTGTCACAAGCAGGCACACGTATGTGAGGTGCAGGCAAGCACGCACAGCTGCTTCCGTGTGCTTGCATGCACACAGGCTCCATGGTATGCATGTACACGCACACCACATGCGTGCATGTATACCCTGTGCATGCATGCTTGCACCTGTGTGCGCACCTGTGTGCTACATGCATGCATATGTGCACCACAAGTGATACATGCGCCCAGATATGATTACCTGCACCACGTGCATGTGTGTGCACCATGTGCATGCATATGTGTGCCCATGCATGCATGCATGCTTGTCCCTATGCATACACCCATGCATGCTTGCACCTGTGTGTGCCGCTTGCACACACATGTGCACACAGGCACCCCTGCCTTTGAGGTCACTCAAAAGCCATTTTTCATGCTCATGTGCTGCCCCTTTGGAGGATGCAAGGGGCTTGTTTGGGGACAAAACCCAAGGCAGACAACGTCCTCCAAGGCTCCTGCAGGGAAAGCTGCAGAGATGCCGCCACGCCGGATGCGCTCACCATCGTTGGGCATGGTGAGGATGGGAATCTGCGTGATGGAGCCGTTCCTGCCTTCCACGCGCCCAGCCCGCTCATAGATGGTGGCCAGGTCTGTGTACATGTAGCCGGGGAAGCCGCGGCGCCCGGGCACCTCCTCCCGCGCCGCCGACACCTGCGGGACGGGGCCGCGGTCAGGCACGCGGTGACGCAGGGCACCGGCTCTGCCCTCCTCGTGGCGCAGCACTGACCTCACGCAGCGCCTCGGCGTACGAGCTCATGTCAGTGAGGATCACCAGCACGTGCTTCTCGCACTGGTATGCCAGGAACTCGGCCGTGGTGAGTGCCAGGCGCGGCGTGATGATGCGCTCAATCCTGCGATGGGACAGGCATCAGTCTGCATCCCATCCCGACGTGGGAGCAGCCCCTGGCACACGGGGACACACGTGCACACGTGGCCAGGATTGCACATGTGCAAACATGCGGGCTTGCATTCATACACACACGCATGGAGGCATGCATGCGCATGGAAACACATGTGCATGCATGGAAACGTGCACACACATGTGGGCATGCTTGCACACATGGGTGCATGGAGACACAAATGTTCATGGAAATATGTGCACACATGCACAGATGTGAGCATGCTTGCACACACACATGCAGGGACATGTGCATGCATGCATGAGCACATACACACAACTACGCACACATGTGCATGGACACGTGCATGTGTGCACACACAGACATGCATTCATACGCATGCAGGCATGCACATGCATAGCCAGCTGCATCCCTAGGGATGGGGAAAAGGAGGAGGCGGAAGAAGCAGCACTCGCTCACGTGGGGTCGTTGGCCAGGTTCAGGAAGAGGCACACGTTCTCCATGGAGCCATTCTCCTCGAAGTCAGCCTTGAAGAAGCGGGCGGTCTCCATGTTCACCTGCACATGAGGAAGGAGAGCTGCAGCGGTGCTCAACGCCCGGCACCGCGAGCAGCATGGCCAGCGCCTGCCCGCTCACCCCCATGGCGGCGAAGACGATGGCAAAGTTGTCCTCATGGTAGTCCATGACATCCTTGGACTTCTTGACCAGGCCAGCCTGCCGGCAGATCTGGGCAGCGATCTGCAACGGGACGCGCGAGGGCGTGCGGATGGGGAGCACCGGGACGGGGACCACGGCACGGGGACGCAGGCACCCACCTCGTTGTGCGGGAGGCCGGCGGCCGAGAAGATGGGGATCTTCTGGCCGCGGGCGATGCTGTTCATGACGTCGATGGGCGAGATGCCCGTCTGGATCATCTCCTCGGGGTAGATGCGCCCGTGCGGGTTGATGGGCTGCCCTGCAAGGCCAGGCAGGTGCCGAGTGGCCCCAGGCACATGGAGCCAGGGGCGGCCCGGGGGCCTGTCCCACTGCCCGGCCTCACCGTTAATGTCCAGGAAGTCCTCGGCCATCACGGCGGGGCCGCTGTCGATGGGCTTCGCCGAGCCGTTGAACACCCGGCCTGCAACACGGGACACAGCTCAGCACGGGGCCCGGGGACACCACGGGGACCAGCCAAGCCTGCCATGTACCCCCAGGGGGCATCTCCCCGGGCACCTGAGCACCTGCCATGTCCCCAGGGCTCTAGAGGGGTCAAAGCCTCAGCCCAGCGAGCAGCTAAGGGTGCCATGGGGTATCCCACCTGATGCAGGTGCCCTGCAGCACTGGGTGCAGCATTGGGCATCACCAGGGGCAGATGAGCAGGCACTGCACTGAGCATCACTGGGTACCAAGCTGTCACTGGGTACCACACTTGGCGTCACCGGGTACCACACTGGGCATCACTGGGTACCAAACTGTCTCTGGGTACCACACTGGGCATCACTGGGGTACCAAACTGTCACTGGGTGCCAAACTGTCACTGGGTACCACACTCGGCACCACTGGGTACTGCACTGGACATCACAAGGGGGCAGATGAGCAGGTATCATAGTGGGCATCACCGGGTACCGCACTGGGCATCACTGAGGACCATGATGGGTTCTGCCCTGTGCAAAAAAGAGGCCCTAGACCCCAGTGTGACCTTGGGAACATGTAACCTGGACGGTGGTAGCACAGAGCAAGTGCAGGTGGCACATGGGGAGCACCCAGGCGCCCGGGGCGCTCTCCATGCCCCAGCCACTGCCTGTCCCCATGGCCAGAAGGGCTGGTCGAGCACAGGGCATTCACACCAGCTTGGTGCTCGCCCCACTTCATGGGGCATGGAGGGGATGTCAACCCCAAGTCCCCAAGCACAGGCAGGATTTGTACCCTTGCCACCTGCAGAGCATTGCACCAGTGCAGTGCCATGCACCCAGCTGCACCCGTCCTCAGCCCAGCGGGGAGCTTACCGAGCATGTCTTCGGACACGGGCGTCCGGAGGATGTCGCCGGTGAACTCACAGGTCGTCTGCTTGGCATCAATGCCCGACGTGCCCTCGAAGACCTGTGGGCATGAGTGTCGCCTCTGGGGGGGGCCACAGAGACCCAACGTCCCTGTCCCGCCAGCAGCGGCCCCGTCAGCAGCTCCCTTGCGGAGAGAGCGGCGCTAATTA